GGGGGGGTGAGTCACTGTGGGTGTTCTAGTGTTATTTTTTGTCCTTATGTTAACTGTTTGGTAACGAGGGAGTAATAAAATACTATTAACTAATTGCATCAACCGGTACCGACTACGGAAGTGGTGGGGGGAGAAACAACGTTGACTGAATTTTGTAACGCAAGTAAAATCGGCCTACGAAAAGGGGAAGGGTGGGGGAGAAACATATTTCGCCCAAGGTGTTGCCTTATTTTTTGGTGTAAAAGCGGTTCACATGTTCAGCCGTACAGCTGATTCACATGTATTGATATCGGTATAACCCCGAAGACAGAAATAGAAATGTTGGATTGACTATTCAGCGAAGGCGGTAGTCCTAAAATTACATAAAAACCTGAACAGTTTTAAAGTGTTAACATTACACCGTCACAAGCCGCTGAATAATTTATTCTTCTAGATTGAGTTGTCGTCTAATTCAAGTCCGCCAACGGAGGTGCTTCTGAAGTTATTGTTGAACTTTTTCTACGACGACAACGCTTGAAAGCGGAATGTTTTTTGGGGGCACTAATTAAAAACAACAAACAAACTAGCGTAACTTCGTTATTCATTCATATTTTCAACTCTGTTTACTTTATCTAAAACTATGAATTGGTAACCGCCTCTTAAATAACCTAATAGCTTTGATAGGGACGTTAAATCGATACCATTTTTATAGAGGAATTGGTAGATAAACAACGTGGCTCTCATAAAATGTACAGATTCGTGTTTCTGATTTGTATATGCTGAATCTAATGTTGCCCAACTTTGATGTTGTTTTGCTGGTGATCCGACATATTATGTGTCCGTTACGGCTTTGAGGAGTTGAATCATTGGGTCAAGTTACCAAACCGGCCTGGGAGAGTAATGCAGTGATACTAAAAGTCCTATGAACGCTTGCATGGCTTTCTTCTATCCTCCTTCTTCAGGGTTAGGGTTTATGTAATCTTAGATCTTTGCCTGAACTTCTCTCAAGAAAAAATCATGTCTTGCCAGAGTTGTTTTACCGAGAAAAAAAAGGATAAAAAAGGTTCTGATTGCCTCAAATTACCACCGCATCCGGACGCAGCAACAACAACAACGCACGCTTCTCCAGCCTTATCTTTGTCTGTCTGTTTGTCTCTCTTCTCTCTGCCTCCTCTGTCTGTCTGTCTGTCTGTCTGTCTGTCTGTCTGTCTGTCTCTCTCTCTCTCTCTCTCTCTCTCTCTCTCTCTCTCTCTGTCTCTCTCTCTGTCTCTCTTTCTCTCTGTTACTACTTCTCTAAATTACCCCTCCCCATCCTCTCTCTTTCTCACAAATTACCAATTTCTAAAAGCCGATTCTCTTTCGTTAATTGATTGAGAGAGGCCAAACAAAATAATATAGAGTTTCATAGTGTATTCCTCTTTGGATAGGTACTTCCGATGGACCCTATACCAGCCTGTAACATTCTCTGTCTCCTGGGAAGTGTTCAGTGCTAGGCGATCATAAATCCACCAACTGAGCATTTTCTTCCCATTGTTGTTCTTATTCCTTCAGTTTATTTTGAAGGTGTCAGTCACAGTCCAACAGAGTCATTATAACCACACATGATGAAAGCAATAAATAGGCCTAGAAGAGAAGCATGTAAGCACTGTGAAAGAACAGATATTAATATGCAATGCAGGCCGGGAAAAACACAAAGGAGCTCCCCCATAATTATGATCCGTATACTTTTCCCTACCTAACAAGGGTGGGCCCCTAGACGCTCATAGATTTATATCTACATGGTCCTTTTAGCCTATTGCTTGCGTTACAAACTAATCTAAATCTAAAAGTAGATCTAGGGATAGGATGGAGGGTTGGTTTTTATTGGTTGTTTGCATAGAGAGGCTCTAAGTCAGTGAAGACTGTGCGGATCAGGAGGGGGGCCTCCACTGTGTAGACATGGATTTTAGACAGATATGAATTAAACTTGCACGGTCAAAACTTCACTGTAGGTTTAATCTAAACACGTACACTGATGGAAGAGATATTTGATATTCACACAATCCAGATGATTTGAAAAAAGCATTGAGTACTATGGTGATGAAGAATCTGAAAATGAACAGTAGGCCTACAGTACAGCCAAACAGCACTTCAAATTTGGGATCTCAAAACTGTTGGTCAATCTTAATTAATGAATTAATTAGTCACCACTTCTGTTCCTCAACACACACAATGATGTAGAAAATATTCACATAATCCAGATGACTTGAAAAGCAAACTGCATTAGGCAGAAATAATCCAATGTCAAAGCATTCTGTACCCCCATTATTATATTACACCCTGCCTTGA